GCAGCTGGTGCTCGACCGCCGCCGACGGCCAGCGCCACCGCTCGTGCTGGCCCTCGTGCGTCGGTGATTCCGTCCGCAGGGACGTCGTCGCCGACTCGTGCCTCGGCTGGCCCGCCGTCCTCTCGACTCGCGCGACCCGGCTCGATGCTGCCATCTTCAGCAGGAGCTGCAGCAGGTGCAAGGAGTAGGCTGCCCGCGCCTGGCGCGGCTGGTGCTGGCGCAGCACGCCGCGAGTCAACAATGGGGCTGCCGCGTGCTACACGAACCTCGACCGGGGTACCGTCACCGAGAGCGTCGATGCTTCGGGCGCCTGGCGATGGCATTGGCCGTCCCACCAGCATGCTGGCATCGGAACGCGACGAGCTGGTGGGCGACGAGATGCCCGCCGAAGAGGACGAAGAGCTGACGGTGGACCAGGCGATCAACCTGGTCGTGAGCAGCAACGTCGAACAGAGCGTGCTTGCGCTCAAGCACGTCGAGGCGTTCATCCGCGAGGAGGAGCCGCAGCTGATCCTGCACGTGGACCAGCTTGCGATTGTGCTGAGCAAGCAGATGCAGCGCGCGTTTGCGCCGGACGCGGGCGAGTTCGGACACGAGCGGCTCAAGAAGCATCTGCTGGTGGTGAGCACCTCGCTCTTCGACAAGAACCGCGTGTGGGAGGAGGGGCGTACGCTGGGGTCGTACCTGTCGCGTTCGGCGCTGATCCCGCTGCTGACGGTGCTGCTGCAGCAGCTGATCCAGTCGACGTCGCGCAGCGACGACGCGGCGGCGCAGAACGAGTCCAAGTTCCTCAACGTGATTGTGCTGCGGTGCTTTTCGGCGTGCAACCTAAACCTGCTGTACGGCGCGTGCCTGCAGATGCTCACCGAGGCCACCGAGGACCTGCGCGAGCTCGAGGGCGAGGTGCTCGAGACGCGCTCCAAGTTCTCCGAGCTGCTGGTCAAGTGTCTGTGGAAGATCGCCAAGCGGCTCGAGGAGAGTCTGGCGCAGGGGCAGGTGGAGCCGCAGCAGCTGTTTGCGGACGTCGAGAGCTTCCTGCAGGCGATCGCGCCGTCCGAGTGGCGCCAGCGCGCGCAGGACGGCGTGCCGCTCGCCGACTTGCCGCTGCGCACCGTCAAGATCATCCTCTCGCACACCTCGAACCACTTTGGCGAGGAGGCGCTGGGCATGCTCGACATGATCCCGCAGCCCGAGAACAGCTACGTCTACAAGTACCTCATCCGCATGCTCAACGTGGCGGCGGACGAGGGTGCGGGTGCGGACAAGGCGGCGGTGGCGGATGTGGATGGCGGCGATGCGGGTGCAGCTTCTGCGGCGCGTGCGCGAGGTGCCGTGGGCAGCCAGAGCAGCGCGGGCAACGGACACGGCGCAGGCGCCGGCAACGGCAGCAGCAGCGGCGTGGACGACGGGAGCAGCACGCACCACGCCGAGCTGCGCGACATTTTCC